AGCGCGCGACCGAGCGAAGAAAAATATAGCTCGGCTACAAGTCGAGCCGAGCGTGTATGGATATCTATAGGTGAGATGACGCGGCGAATATTTGTGCGAGTGTCGTTGCTCCTTTGACTTGTGTACTTATATATGCAGTGGTGCACACGTTATTTTTATAAATATATGTACGTTAAAAGTAAAATTTTGAAACTTTAGCTTAAAAATCCCCACGTAAACGATTTTAATAGAATGTAACGGAAATTTTAGTTTTTTTTTCTTTCAAGTTAAAGTATATTGAACTATTCGATTAATTTATAGAAGAAATGTTTAACAATTTTATTAACTTTGTACTAATATAACTCATAGGGACAGGTCTGGATAATTGGATCGTGTAGTAAATACACAAGTAATGTAATCACTAGTTGTATATTAATATACAAGTATAGTTATTAAAATAATTTTTTTTTAGCACAAGTAAATAAATTAAATTTTTACCAAAAAATTGGATTTAAAAAAAAAATTTTTATGTAATCCGTGCCCAAATATGACGCGCGCGCGCACACACATTAATTAATAACGATCCAATTTAACGAGAGCAATTATATTTATATGTGAGAGTATCAATCACCAACGCCCATCAATCAAATAACAGCTCGATACCGTCATTCCTCTGAATACGCCATACACGTACCTACTATGAAAGTTGAAAGTAATGCGTGAACCCTTTCGTGCTTGATCGTCACGCGTCAACTGCCGGCAGCATCAAATACCTTCGAGGTTATTATATTACGGGGTGTCAGGAGGGTGCAATTAACATACCGGGATCGCAGCAGATTCTTTGTTATGATGTTTTGAAAAAAGTTTACCGTCATTTGCATAAAATTTATTTTCTATTTGATTAAACGAGTAATTAAATTTTTTTTTTTTTTTTTTTATGTTGAGATTCATAAATGATACCGAGTTTACGGGTAAAAGCTACAACTGTGAAAAAAACATTTTAACTGGAGCGACACTTTGATAGAAGAAATATTGACGAATTGAATTTTCTTGCAATTCTCAAATTTTTCTCTATTTTTCATATTTTAGTATTGCAGGAAAAAAAGATTAATTTTTTTTATAAAAATACAGTCAATTAATGCGTATATACAATCACATTTATTATTTTTGAAGAAATGCATACCATATTTTAGTGGAAGAGAGTAGTATTCAATAATTATTCGTAAAGTAAATTTTTAAAACCGACATTTTATTGAATACATAGTATTTTGTAAGGTTAAAACAAAAACTCAAAACTGTCTGTACTACCCAACCGTCGTGACCACAGGCCTGGCGGGCCTCAAATAGACATGCCGAGCGAAACGCGCATATTAAAAAATTTCAATATATAAAACATTGGCCATTTTCAAATGCGGCTCTTTAAAACGTAGCTTCCGGGCACTATTTTGATCGCCGAAACACACTCAGATAAGCAGACAAAATTGGCGTTAAATTCGAGTCTACCGAATCTTTTATTTATTTGCATACCAATTACCTCTTAAAACAGTAGCAATCAAATTAATTAGCATACCAATTGTACAAACACTATTTGGCTAATGTTGTAGAAACTATTCGGTTGTTATGGAAACGAAATTTTCGCTCTGAACATGCACGTATGCTAAATTTAGGTTTTTTTTCCTCGTTCAAAAAAAAGAAAATGTTTGATGTTTTCGAGATACTAGGTATACTTCGATGCGTGCAGTGGGTTTAAGAATTTAGAGATACATCTGCCGAAGATTTAGAAAATTTTGATAAAATCTAAGCACTATTTGTGTATGAATACCATTCACACTCACACTTTTTTAAGTTGAAGTTATTTTTTATTCCAACCCAATGTAAAAAAAAAGAGTTCAGCGACCAACGCTGTATTCAATTTTCAATTTGAATACACTTTTTTAGCAAATCATATACTTATTTGAGTGCCATTTATTTTAAATGGTGCCATCAAAAAAAAAGAATGTTTTCCACAACTGTAGAAAAGCCAGGTGGTGGGCGTTAAAAAAAAACTTGAGTCAGTTAACTTGAGCGATCCTAACTGCTATACAAAAAATAATGTGGAGCAAAAGCCGAGCCAACTCACTTGGAAAAAAAAAAAAAAAAAAAAATTAATCGACCACAACGGTGTCGCTTTATTGACAATCAGGCGAAAAACAGCCTTTCATTAGCGATGACAATGAACGATAAAAAAAAAAAAAAAAAAAAGTAACGGCAAAGTGTGCCGCTCACCTCGGTATGGTGGTATCATTCAATTATACAGCCATTCATGCGGTCCAACGGGAGCATAAAACACAACACGCAGCCATACAGTGTAGCGGCAACGAAAAGCCAAATGCCTTTGACTCGTCTCACCTGACGTGCAATGCTCGATAAAAAGAAGAGAAAAAAAGAACTCCGCGGGAGGGGGGGAGGGTGTTATTGGCCACGTCCTGCACTGCCAGCGTCATGGCCTTTGTCCAGCTGGATGTATCACATATGAGAAGATGGAACAGGAGGAGGAGCGGATAGATGCATTCTTTTGCAATTACACGCCCTATAAGCGCGTGTCGGTCTTTATTTTCCCCGTTTCACATTATTTGTTATGAGTTTCCCTTCTTCTTTTTGCATCATGCCTGCATAAACGCATATATATACATACATATATACGTTATATTCCAAAATTTTCATTTCACGCCTCCTCCTCCTAACCGCTCTGTTTTCACGAGTTTTAAAAGGAAATTTTTCTTTTCTCCGGCTTTTCTCTCTTGCCTTTGTATTTTTGAGGACCCCGCTGATGGTGTTTGACGTTTGACACAGTAAATCCAGAGATATACATATAGAGGCGTGTAGCTTTGATCCGTTGGATGTACGAGGGGTGCGGAATTGGCTGTCCATCACCTAATTGCATTGTACGGAAAAAAAGAAAAAAAATTGTTTTTTTTTTTGTGTAAGAGTACGGTCTCAGGACCATGGCATTGATAAACAATTTCTAATATAATTTATCCATCTCTTTGTCGGTCTATCTCTAGCTGATCGATGATTGGCCAACTTGGCAGGTTTACGAGCAGGTAGAACGACACTACATACCTTTCCGCTTGAATTTTCATTTTGTCATAATTGATGAAGCAAATCAATGTACGGAATCGTAAGTGATTGCCGTTACGTTTTCCCACCGAGCTAAAAGGACAGTGTTGGTTGGTGATCACAATCAATTGCCTCCAACGCTATTGTCAAAATAAGTTGCAAGTACGGGTTTTGGCAAGTCTTTATTCGGAAGATTAATTAGTCAAGGAAATGTTGTTGTGCACTGCTTGAGATTCAATTATCGAATGACGAAGCAGCTTGCAACATTTTCTTCTGCATACTTTTACAAGGACATTGTTGCAAGGCTCGAGGTAACGAGAGACAACGGCCTATGTATGGATTGGCTCGAAAAATACTGCAAACATCTAATTTTTGTAAATTTTAACGGCTTGTAATCATGTGAAAATAGTTCCTATAAGAATCAGATGGAAGCGGAAGCTGTCAACTTATTTTTTTTAAATTACTGTATGACAACGAGGCATCGGATCTATCGGACGTTGCTGTAATAAGCGGCCATCATTCCCAACGACATCAACTTTTACAAACAATGCGCGAGCAAAACCAAAAATTAAACATCTTCGATAGAATCGACGTGCGAAACATAGATGCATACGAAGGTCATGAGTAAGCCGATGTTGTATTGTTTTCAGTGAAACGGTCAAATTTTTCTGAAATCGAAAATATCGGATTTATGAATTCGGTTGAACGTGTCAACGTTGCTATTAATTACTAGGGCAAAAAAGGTTTTTAGTGATTTTTGGAAATGAGCCAACTCTATCTGAAAATTTATTTTGGAATGATTATATTTATCAAATAAAAAAAACGGCACTTTCATGGACTTCCAACAGTTCCAACAAATCATTGATATTTCCAAAACGCAACAACGACCGTCATTTTTGCTAAAATAATTAAAGTAATTAATTAATAGCATGATGTATTCATAAAACTAAATTAATCGTATTTAACTGTTTATAACGTAGTTTTTTTTCGCTTCTTGTTTGCAAGTTCCATTTTCCACTTCCACATGAATATAAAGATATATAAACCAGAATGTAAGAAAATTCAGAAGAATAAATATCGAGATAGTTTAACAGTTGTACGTCAATACTTTGATTAAATTTAATAAAGACAGTTGAAGAAAAAAAATGGGCCTAACTTCGTGGGATATGCCTTAAATGTGTGTGTGTATGTATATATATGTGTGCTAATTAGCTAATTTCCATAGACCTATATTATTTTTGAAGAAATGCATACCATATTTTAGTGGAAGAGAGTAGTATTCAATAATTATTCGTAAAGTAAATTTTTAAAACCGACATTTTATTGAATACATAGTATTTTGTAAGGTTAAAACAAAAACTCAAAACTGTCTGTACTACCCAACCGTCGTGACCACAGGCCTGGCGGGCCTCAAATAGACATGCCGAGCGAAACGCGCATATTAAAAAATTTCAATATATAAAACATTGGCCATTTTCAAATGCGGCTCTTTAAAACGTAGCTTCCGGGCACTATTTTGATCGCCGAAACACACTCAGATAAGCAGACAAAATTGGCGTTAAATTCGAGTCTACCGAATCTTTTATTTATTTGCATACCAATTACCTCTTAAAACAGTAGCAATCAAATTAATTAGCATACCAATTGTACAAACACTATTTGGCTAATGTTGTAGAAACTATTCGGTTGTTATGGAAACGAAATTTTCGCTCTGAACATGCACGTATGCTAAATTTAGGTTTTTTTTCCTCGTTCAAAAAAAAGAAAATGTTTGATGTTTTCGAGATACTAGGTATACTTCGATGCGTGCAGTGGGTTTAAGAATTTAGAGATACATCTGCCGAAGATTTAGAAAATTTTGATAAAATCTAAGCACTATTTGTGTATGAATACCATTCANCATTCAAAATTTAAGAACCAAAATGGATGAAAATTACACCAAGTTAGCCAAGTTGGTAAAAGCGCCTGATGAAATTTCAGTTGAAATAATCCTAGACAGTGGTTATGACATAAACTATTCAGTGCCAGCCCATAGCCCAATTCTATGTTTAAAATTTGAGTGTCTGGGAAACACAGCACTACACTTCGCTGCACAATCTGGAAACGCATCTATTATTGACTTACTAATTAGTCGAGGTGCTGATTTCACCTGCAAAAACAATCAAGGCTTTACTCCACTTCGACTGCTTTGGGAATCTTCCAGTGTTAATACTAGTGATCCAATCATCAATGAACTGATGTCTGCTCATACAGAATATAAAAACCCAGCCAATCCACGGTGCAAAAACGGAATATCTCATTTTCATATAGCTTGTATGACAAGAAATTTAGAGGTAGTGAAGTTCTTTCTTGATGCTGGTGTTTCAGTTAATCATGTTGATTCTGTCAGATTTCCTGGATGCACGCCATTGCACTTTGCAATAAACAATGAGGATAGCAATATGGTTTTACTGCTTTTAAAATATGGAGCTGATTGCAATCATTTGAATGCTCGTGCAATGAGTCCACTGCATTTGATTGTAAACAAGCAAGTGCTTGGGTATTCCTACAGTGAAATATTAAACAACGATTGTATTCTGGACTTGATTTTTAAACAAAGTGTCAATGATTCGAACCCAGTTGATTGTGTTGGCTTGTCTTATTTACACGTGAAAGCCATAACAGCCTCAGCATCCAATGACGAAAATTTTTGCAAACTCAAGCAGTTTCTAGAGCAGTTTTTGAAAAAAGGCCAGAATATTAATGCACCAGTGAATTTTAATTCTCCAGTGTGGCCAGGTTACACACCTCTGCATTTCGCTGCCCTCTGCAATTGGGAAACTTTCAAGTTCTTGCTGGAGAATGGAGCTAACATCTTGGCTAAAGATGCTCAAGGTACAACTCCACTTGACTTGTGTCTAGAAAAAGATGATGGAACAAAGCTTGTCGAGATTTTTCAGACTCAAGAAAAATTAGCATCAAAATTTGAGAGTGGTACAAAGTTAATCGATATTATTTCTATATTTAATACTACAGATACATTTCGGGATTACATGAGAAGTGCAGATATAAATAGGATTATTCCACCTGATGCACCGTTATGGCCAGGCTGTACGTTATTACATCTGCTTGTTACATTTTTTGAAACATCTTTCTGTAATATTGGTGATAAAAACATGGAAAATGACTGCAACAATGGACAGAAAAGCATCTTCAGGGTCAAATTATGTTTACAGTATGGAGCTGATTTAAGTATTCAAGACAATAATGGAATGACGCCTCTTCATCTGGCCTTTTATATGAAAAAACACGAATGCGTTAAAATCATTTTAGATGCTGTTGATACTCTTATTAATTGCACTGATCGATATAATGTATCCCACTTGCACATAGCCTGTTTTTATGGTAATTTGCGAATAATTGATAATTTTGTATCCAACGGAGCCGATCCTAATGTCCAAATACAGTGTCATTATCAAATGGTTAACTGCACACGTCATAATGACCAAATTCTGATCAGAGCCGGCTCTACACCATTACACATAGCAGTAGCAACTGGATCCGTAGAACTGGTGAAATTATTGTTGAAGTATCGAGCTGATACTACCCTTACCGATTGTGATGGTCTAACTTGGTTGCACCGAGCATTTACAAGCCCATACTTTGAAAGCTTTAAGCCTTTTTTGTGGTCAGATTATAAAGTTCTCAAAACAAATTCTGTAGCTCCTGGTGGACTGTCACACTTTCATGTGGCTTGTTATTCTGGAAATTTCCGAGCAGTTAAAGCTCTTATGCCCAGTATAGATACTATTAAAGAACAGATGAATTATGTTCAATGTAATTCACACATGTTACACTTGGGAGATAGCCTTTTACATTTAGCAGTTAAGGCTGGCTCCAGACAAACAGTTGACCTACTCATTAAAAATGGAGCAGATCTGGATACAACAAATCCTCAAGGCCTAACTCCGCTTCAGCTAGCTGTATTTTTAACGGGTGATATTCCAGATGTAGTAATCCAGCATCTTTTAATGGAGTCCCGCAGAATGGGGAAACTCTCTGAAACAAATTTGATTGGAGTTCAAGTCATGTATGGCTTAAAAAAAATATATCTGTACTTATCAAAGGCTAAAACTAAATATGAAAACTTGGACAGACAGGGGATTGAAGCTCTCCTCCAGTACAACGACCTGTATCCTCCAGTGAAACGAAGTCTTGATGCCATTCAAAAATTCAGAGGGCACGAGTTCTACAGTAAGTTTTTTTTCCCCGTACTTAAAAAAAAAAAGACTGAATGTTAATACTTTAACAAGTTCACTTTTATTTATTTATTTATTTTTTTTCTTTAGATCTATGGAGCATCAATAATATTTTACTTTTGCAATTTTCGCCAAGTCAAAAACTTATTGTAAATCATGAAGGACTGTCGTCTTTCCACATTAGCTGTACTGGAAACGATCTAGACATTGTCAAAGAGTTTTTAGAATCTGGTGTCAATATTAATTCTCCTGTGAATCATTTCGCCTCTAGTCACGCTGGATACACTCCGCTGCATTTCGCGACAGTATATGGTACTGCATCAGTAGTTGAAACGCTGTTAAAAAATGGAGCCAATTTCAACCTCGAAGACGCCTATGGTTATACGCCAGTGCATTTAGCTGCGTCGGGTCACGCGGAAAAATTCAGAGTATTTTTGAGGTATGTATATTTAGTTAAAATTAATTAATAAAAATCTAGAAAACAATCAGCGACCACTCAAAGATAACGGTGAAGAACCATTTTTATTTTACAAAGGAGAACTCGGAATGACTATTAATTTGTTAGTTGTCATTTTTGGTTTTAGGAATGTTTTTAAATTATGGTTAAAACGAAACCAACCAGTCTTTTTTACATACCTAAATTAATGAAAATCTTTAACTGATTGCTGATTTTTTTTTTGCGCCGATTTTTACAGCCACGATAGGCACGCACAACTATAGTAATGTCGCTGTTGTCGATGGTTGTGCGTTTAAAATCTTTTACGAAATAATAAGCTTCATTGTTTTAATGAAATTTTAGATCATCAAACATGAGCATTGACACCAAAAATATATATGGTGAAACAGTTATGGATTGTCTCTTCAAAAATTCTTTCATCGATAGACGCGTATTTCTTGAGTTACTATGTTATGGATGGATAACAGAAAGCAGCGATTCGGCTACTAAAATGTTACTCATTAAAAAATCCATGAAGTATTGTATAAGCGACGACTTGCAATTTTTAATTTCATGCATACCTCATGTGAGTGACGTTGATGCCCATGGCTGCAACATAATTCACTATTGTGTCATGTTTTATGATTACTTCAGAACTGTCCATGAATTTGCTTCCATAATTGAATCTTTTTTGAAATGTGGATGCGAACTTGATCAACGAGATAATCAAGGTAAATATCAGGGTATTAATTTATATTTGTATATTAGTACGAGTTGAAATTTATAAATTTTTTTTTTCTTTTTTTTTTTTTAGGGCGAACACCTCTTTATTATGCATTACTTCGAAACAATTTTATAAAGATCGATGCCCTTGTATCACTCGGAGCTGACATTAACATGGTTAATTCTACACAAATTCCATCGTTTTATCTTGTCTTTTACGTACATATAGTCTTACTTCAAGCCGCTGGCTTGCATGTTAATCCTATAACACGAGTCAGGGACGACGATGTACAAGAAGCAACACAAATCGTCCAGTTGAAACATATGAAAGATTTAATCATTACTAAATCATTTTCCTTGCGCGATTTTCTCACGGAAGATATGGTAAAAAAATTTCCAATGATGCCCAAGCACAAGCGCCAAATCATCCTTGAGTACATGAACTGTAAAAATTTGCCACAGAAGTTTCCATATTGGGTGCCTATTTTTAACTTGCAGCGAAGGAAGGCTTTGAAGAGGGAAAAACTGTTCGAACCGGCGAGATTTGCGCTACAAAATCTTCTGGACCCAAGGTTACCTGATCACTGTTGTGAATCTATTTTAATGCACTTGAGCAATGATGATTGTCAATCTTTGTTGAGTTGTTATATGTCTCATGCTCAAAAACAATGAAACTACTTAATTGTATTTTTAAAGCGTAGTTTTACATAACGACGAAAGTTTGTTTTTTTGTTTGATCTTGAGGCGTGAGTATCAAGAAAAAAATTATTAAACTAAGTGTGCTCGAGATTTTTGATATGCATAATTTTAAAAAATCATAACAAAGATGCTCATTTGTTATTTTAATAAAAATTTCATGTCCATTAAATTTAAATTGTAACAATAAAGTTTATTGTACCTCAATTGTTGAATTTTTTGTTCCTCCTACCTTCTAAAGCATTGTTTTATGATCAAGTATGCTAAAACTAATCGTAACTTTTTTTAGTAGTATTCGCCTAAAGTTACAATCTGTTACAAGCAAGGCACTTCAAAAGTTATACATACATAAAAAAGTTTTGGTGAGGAGTATAAAAAAAAAAAAAAAAAAAAAAAAAAAAAAAAAAAAAAATCTTTGAATTAACGAATGCAATACACTTCACCTTGAAAAATCAAAAAAAAAAAACCTTTATATCATGTAAAGGGTGAAAGAAAATTAAAAAAGGGGGGGGGGATCGTCTGACGCCGAAGGAACAAAAAAAAATTAATTACCTTGGCGTCTCCTCCAGTGTCGTGAAAATGCCCCTCTGGCGCTATGCTTTTACTTTTTCCACAGGAAAACGAGATAGGGTTAGTCGCCCCGCCCCCGCAGAATTTTTCACGTCATCTCGGGCGTGCGGCGCCCCTTTATAGGAGCACAGTTTCGGCATTTTGAAAATAATTAAAGCCAAAAATGTATGTATATTAGTCACGAGTAGGACGGCAAGGCGCCACCCTTCCGACCGACCCATCCCTTCAGCAGTTTGTCAAGTTGGAAGGATAGAGGGGAAGTGTAGACGGAAACCGATAATTAATTTTACCAACAACAAGGGGATATAATTGTAGAACAAAATATCGCTTCCGTATACTCACCGCTTTCAATATTTTTACTTCTTCAGCTCGTATGGGAATTGAATAAAAAAATAAGTATGTACTTATGTTTACTGCTAATGAAGTTTATTTTTAAGTGAAGATCTATCACAAACTATACATCTATGGATTAGAATAAAAAATAAAAGTACGTACTACTAGAAGTACTTTATGTTATTACATGAACAAATCAATACATTTGTGTGTAGAGACTAAGAAAATAAACATAAGTTTTACGTAATCGTAGAAATGTTCTAAATTTGAAAAAAAAAATCGTGAAAAATATTTTTTAAATGATTAAATTTTTACAAGTAACTATAAAAAAAAACAGCTTTAAAAATACAATCAAAAACTTTTTTTTTTCAATTAATTTAATCTCGCATTAGGATCCCACATATTTTGTTGCAAAGGTAAATAATCAACAGAGTTTCGTTGATTCAGCTCATTATTGCTTTGTTGAGTATATCTGTAACCGTTTGAGTTTTGTTGATCTGATCTAAAATTGTTCGCGTTTTGTGAATCATAGTTATTGTGATGATGATGGTTCTGAGTCACGTAATTCATAAATTTAGAGAAACCAAAAAGAATCCTCGACTCGTATTGGCGCATTAAATATCGCACTCTCCAGTTTACATAGTTTTGAACTTCCTTGTTACCAGCAAATTTATTAGCGAAACTATTGGGGTTGTTGTTAGGCGTTTGGTACGGTTGCTGACGTACGTACATACTTGTATTCGTTGTCCTTTGAATAAATGACCTTTTATTATGCACATTTGACGAATCATCGATGTTTTCTTGATTTGGCAAAGAGCAACCAGCATCATACATATTACTTCTTGAGTTGTTACGGTTGTATTTAAAAGGACCAACTTTTCTCACTTCCAGTCCGTCATACTCTGAAGGAAGTGAGCCACAAGCTAGAAAAAAATGGAAAATTTATTTTTATTTCGAAATGAAATTGTTTACTTTTGTTACAGTATTTAATTTTGCAATTAGTAACCGATAAGATGGGGATGAGACCCGTTTTTTGCACTGAACGCACTTATGCTAATTATTTTAGTCCACCAGAAAAAATCCAGTTAACATCTCATCAATTTTTTTAGGATTATTAACTACTATAATCCAGAGACAAGCACTAAATTCCAAAATTAAATTAGAAAGTGAATTGACTCACCATAACACTGTTCGCACTCTAGCTGTGGAAAATCATTTTTACACGTTTGCGTACTTTTGTCAGTCTTTGGACTGGCCAGTTGTTGTATTTTATTTTCTACAAACGCTTCGATCACAGCTTCGACAGTGTCGAATGAAGCTTCTCCCGACGATAAAGCTGGCAACAATTCACCAACTAAGAAGAAAACATGTAAATCAACCACTAGATCTTACTACACTGTAAAATTAAAGATTTTTTTAGCCAATAATGAGAAAACTTACGGCTAGCATTATTTTCCCTGCTGTTATTTTGATTTTTGGAGTTATTCGGATCACCGTCATTGCTGCTAGTGCAACTCCTAGCATCGCTTGCATCAGCCTCATCTCTGATGTTACTGTTCTCGTCACCGAGCCACGTGACATCGTCGTCCTCATTCTCCAGCTCTTTATCGTACTTCTTCACCTTCACCTCCTCCACCTCCACCTCTTCGTCATCGCTCGACAAGCATATCAAATTGCTGTCATCGGTGTCGTGATCACCTGCTGAGGTCTGCTCTTTAGCCTATTAATTGCAATACATGAAAATGACGGATGAACAATAATATTAACCATATTTAAAAAAAAAAGGTTCACATTTATACTCACCGGCGAGGGCTCAGTTTTTATCGGCCTGTGCTTTGTCTGTCTGAATTTTGCTACCGGATTGCAGAGAAACATTCTCGAGAAAAGCGATGTTTCTTGTATACGTTATTTACAGTTCTTAAGTACTGTACAGAAGAAAAAAACTCGACGATACACGGATGAAGTGATGCACGCCAGCACACCGCTAACTGACTGCTTGACACACACGTATGGACACTGGATTGGTTAATGCCACAAATGCTGACATGCTTGATGGCGGCGACAATTTAGGTTTGTTCAAGCCCCTTTTGGTTCGGTATATTTTGTTAAGAGAACCGAACCGAACCGAACCGAAATCTTTTGATGCCAAGATCGCTCGGAGCGCTCCAAGCTTAATCCCGAACAAATCTATTGTCACGTAAACATAGGTGCCTCCCCCACCCCCAAAGTCCCCATTTATTTATTTACTCTTGGTTAATTCGATAGTATAATCTCTTATAGTTAAGTGCATGTACAGTTAAAATTATAATTATACCGGATATAACTGTAATTCTTTAAACAATATCAGCCAAAGAGAAATTTCACAAATAAACCCCCCGCTTCCGCCACTTCGTAGCAAATTATAACCTATAAAATATCGCACGTGTGTGTCTAAAGAGACCCCAAAAAGGTATTACCAAAAGACGAAAAACAGCTTCTGTTCAGGTACAGGTTTCGTTATTTATTTATATTGTCTCACTTGATATTCTTTAGATGATAAACGTGTGCATCTATACATGCTTTATTTTGGTACTGTAAATTTAAAACAAAAACTCAATCGAGATTACTTTGTTGATTATGAAAACGTATGTAGAAATACTACAATCATTCATCAACAGGATTTAAATTTCAAATGCCCTATCTCATTGAAACATTTATTTTAGATGAACTTTAGCAATGAAAAAAGATCACTTGGAATATTTTGAAGAATAGTAACGATAATTGGTTCTGATCACATCCATTACTAGGGCCATTAATGATGTCATCTGACGAAGACATGGACGATAATTATATCATGTTATCGAAACTTATAAAAGTAATGAATTATGATTCAACTGTTGTAATTCTAGACAGTGGTTATGATATTAATTATTCAGTGCCAGCCAACAGTCCCGTCCAATATTTTAAACCTGATTGGTTGGGAAATACAGCATTGCATTTTGCTGCTGAATCAGAAAACACATCTATTGTTAGTTTACTACTTAGTCGAGGTGCTGATTTTACTTACAAAAACAACAAAGGTTTTACCCCATTACGTTTCCTTTCTGAATACTACTGTGAAGAACGTGAGATCAGCATAGCAAACAGTGCCGTACTTAAGTTGTTATCTGCCCACATTAAATTCAATAATCCAGCAAATCCACAATGCAAAAACGGAATATCTCATTTTCATATAGCTTGTATGACAAGAAATTTAGAGGTAGTGAAGTTCTTTCTTGATGCTGGTGTTTCAGTTAATCAAGCCATTAATTTTGATTCTGTCAGATTTCCTGGATGCACGCCATTGCACTTGGCAATGAAAATTGACAATGAAGATGTGGTTCAAATACTTTTAAAAAATGGAGCAGATTACAATTACTTGAATGCAGTTCAAATGAGTCCCTTGCATTGTATTATAAAAGAGATAATTGACAAAAGTTGGCGCAGCAAACGAATACTGGAAAACGAGCATGTATTGAATACAATATTTAAACACAATACAAATTCGTATTCGAGAGATTGCATTGGATTGTCTTATTTACACGTGAAAGCCATAACAGCCTCAGCATCCAATGACGAAAATTTTTGCAAACTCAAGCAGTTTCTAGAGCAGTTTTTGAAAAAAGGCCAGAATATTAATGCACCAGTGAATTTTAATTCTCCAGTGTGGCCAGGTTACACACCTCTGCATTTCGCTGCCCTCTGCAATTGGGAAACTTTCAAGTTCTTGCTGGAGAATGGAGCTAACATCTTGGCTAAAGATGCTCAAGGTACAACTCCACTAGATTTGTGTTTGAAGAAAAATGATCTGTCAGAAATTTTTCCCGCCCTCATGGCTCAAGAAGTGTTGGCTTCCATTCAGTTTCAAAATGGCACAAAATTAACTAATGTTCTGACAGTATTTAATAGCCCAAAAAAATTAAAAAATCATTTGACAACAGATATCAATGCCATTATACCGTTGGACTCACCACTGTGGCCAGGTCGCACGTTACTACATCTGCTTGTGATCTTTTTGCATAAATATTTAACTTACAGTAGTTTCAACGATTCTGATGATTCTGGTGATTTTGATGACTCTTACAATGATTATTTGTATTATCATGATGGTTATTTATATCAGGAAGTTGATGAAGATGACTTCTACTTAGACGATGACGATGACGAGTACGACGATTACGACGATGACGACGATGACGATGATGATGATGACAACAATCATGACGGTGGAGTTAACATAGACAACGAGAATAACGTAAACGACGATAATGACAACGACCCCACTGTTGAAGAGGATGATGACAATGACAGTTTCGACAGCAATGACAGTGACGAAGGCAGTAATAATGTAGACAGCAATGACTCGGATTTTCTGGTTATAAGTGCAGAAGACGTGAAATTATGTTTAGATAGTGGAGCTGTTACAATTCAAGATACAAATGGAATGACACCTCTTCATCTGGCTTTTTATAACAATGATTTTGAATGTGCAGAAGTTATTTTAAATACTGTCGATACTCTTGTCAACCCTGTGGATCAAAACAAGATATCACATATGCATATAGCATGCTTTTATAGCAATACACAAGTGGTAAGTCGGTTCTTAAAAAACGGAGCAGATCCCAACATGCCGATGAAAATTAATCTGCAAGACGTTTGTGGATTGCTCAACGACACCAATGTTCCAATTAAATGTGGATCTACACTTTTACACATTGCAGTATCAGTTGGTTGTAAGGAGATGGTGAGATTGTTATTAAAGTATGGTGCTGATTCCACTCTCGTTGATAGTGATGGATTAACTTGGCTGCATCGAGCATTGATCAGTCGGCATTTTGACAAATTGAAACCTTTTTTATGGAGGAATTCTGAAGTCTTGAAACCAAATACTACAGTAATAAGTGAGCTGTTCTCTATATTCCATATAGCCTGTTGCTCTGGAAATTTAGAAGCAGTTAAAAAGTTAATATCTCGAGTAGACGATATTAATGAGCCCATCACAGATAAATTAATGGAGCACATTCGATACATTCCCTATCACATGAGTTTAGGGGACACTCCTTTACATTTAGCCGTCAGGGCTGGATCTAGGAAAATAATTGACCTGCTTTTAAAAAATGGGGCCAACCGAGAAATAAAAAATACCAAGGGTTTTACTCCAGCTCAGTTGGCTTTGTTTTTAATGGGTGAAATTCCACTCTCGGTAATTCAACGTCTCGTTATGGAATATAACAATGAAAAAAGCAAGTTAACAGAATTGAGTGTTATCTATGCTTTCCGAATCATGCATCTGAAACTGTCAAGTACTGAGAAAGAAAAAAAGACTAAAGAACAGTATTACCAAAAAATTAAAAATTTACTCTGGTTTCACGAAGCTGATCCTAATTTACAACTGAGTGTGGATGCAATTACAAAATCAAAATTAAGTGATTTTCAAAGTAATGTAAATTTTTTTCTAATTCAAAAATGATTTATGGTATTGTAGTGAAAAAAAATAATAATAAAAATTTATTTGTATTCTATCTAGACTTCTGTTGCTCCGAAAGAATTATCAAGTTTCAGTTTTCACCAAGTCAGAAACTCATCGTGAACCAAGAAGGACTATCAGCTTTTCATATGAGCTGTACAGGGGATGACCTTGACATAATAAAAAAGTTTCTCAAAACAGGCGTTGATGTTAATTCTCCCGTGCATCATCTGGCCTTTCATTTCCCTGGATACACTCCACTACATTTTGCAGTAAAATTCGGTGATAAAAGTGTAGTCGAGTTGTTATTAAAGAATGGAGCCGACATCAACCTGGAGGACTCATATGGCCATACTGCAATAAATTTAGCAGGAATAAGACCTCAGAGTGGATCACTCGAAGTTCTTTTAAGGTATGACTTTTATTTAAATAAAAAAACTAATGCTTTTTGTGAAATATCTTTTTGAGTGAAAACTTGAATCATTACAAATGATGTTCTTAATTATTTAAGCAGTTTAACTGCAGCATTAATATTATTTTCCACATTAGGTTACGCAACGTTGATGTTGCAACAAAGAATACACTGGGTCAGACAATAATAGATTACTTTCTCAACAAAATTTACATGCCTGAACACCAATTCGTAAAATTTATTAAACAAACTTCAGGAATAGAAAACATGGACTCGGCTATTAAAATACAACTTGTTAAGGGTTTAATAGATAAATATTCTTATAAGATTCTGCCGTCACTAGAAGACTTACTGCCCGACTTGAGTGATGTCAAAAGTGATGGATGTAATGTCATCCATTATTATGTACAATGCAGTCGCTACTGTGATAGTAATGAATTTGCTCATCTCGTTGAAAAACTTATAATACGTGGTTGTGAACTAGATCAACAAGATGATAGAGGTAAGTGATGAATAGTCAAACATTTTCTTTGCGACTTTATCGTGGATGTTATTGAATTAATTTATCAGTGCTAGTGTTGTTTTTAGTTAATTTTTTTCTCCAACAACAAGTGTATCAGTCTGTTTCATATTGCAGCATTTTTTTTCTCCTTGTCAATCTTTATCATTACCAACAATTAAAAATTGTCTCTTTTTACAGGGTGGACACCTTTAAATCTGGCTGTATATTTTAATAATGTAAAAAAGTTCAAAGCTTTATTGTGTGTTGGAGCTAATATTAACTTAATTGATGATCCTCATAGTATAAGTGAATGTTTTTACAAGCTTATTCAGGAACACTTGAATAAACTCAAAGCTGTTGGCCTGTACACCAATCCTATCCTAGAAATGTTTTTTTATTATTATAATGTGGATGTAACACGAGAAATTATCCAACTGGATGACATGATTAAAGTAAAGTTTACTAAATCATTATCTCTGCGCGATGTTCTAACCAATCAGTTCGTGGCCAAGTTTCCTATGATACCAAAGTGTCAGCGTCAAGAAATCCTAAGTTACATTGATTCTAATACTTTGCGACGAAATTTTCCAAAGTGGCTGGGAATTTTCAAGTTTCAATGTAAGAGAGCGTTTAAGAGAGAAAAACTGTTCGAACCGGCGAGATTTGCGCTACAAAATCTTCTGGACCCAAGATTCCCTGACCATTGTCTTGAATTTATTCTAACAAACCTGAGTAATGAAGATTATCGTAATTTGGCTCTGGCCAAGAGCAATGATTGGTAAGTTTATATACCTAGTGTATTGATAAAATAAGCCATAATCCATAGAAATCGTATTCTTATAGATTCGTGCAGACCTGGATAAAGTGACGTAAAAAACGGGTGACAGAATGACCAATATATTTCAATAAATTTTATATTATTTACAAAGGAGCTGATACAGTTCAAGCTAGTGTATAACATACATGATATTTAACATCATTGAAACTTTTGCTTAATGGATGTTGCCAAAAAAAATATAAATTAGAGCTTGCAGTCTTTATGGATTAAAAGCACAAACAGAAAAGTTCTTAGTAATATTATTTTGTTTTTAACATACAATGTTGTAAATCTGCAACATGATTGTTTATAAGTTGTGTTTGTTTTATATAAGTTAATGTCAATAAAAATTTCAAAATTTGAAGTTTTTCAGTTGATACTCATATTATAGAATAAAAGCTAGTTTTGCCGTATTATTAAAGTTAAAGTAATATATCATATTTTGAATACATATTTGTGGTAAACACTTCAATGCCTCAGTTAGCTAAATTCTAGGTACGAATTAATAAATTAAAAATTAATTATGAAAAAACTTTATTGTATACAAATGAAAAATTACAAATTTTATACATGTGTTAAACACATAAGTCTTTCACGATACAAGTCACGAAAATAATCATTTTCAAAATACAAAATATAGAGAAAAATTTGTTAAACAGATAAAGACAAATACGTAACGACCAAGTGTCGATTAACTTTTAAACTTCTAATCAAGCTGTAAAAAAAGCAGTCAAGAATATTCAAAAGTACGTAATTTACTTAAGCTATGCATTATAGTAAGCATAGTCCAACATCTCTGAAAAAAAAGAAAATTGCCCATATAAGAGAGATCTTAAAAAATAGTATTCCCTTCGTCTTTCTGCAACTTGATTGAAAGGTCTGAAATGTCTCTGATTATGATGATAAAACTTATTGGATCTATTGGTGGAGTGTGTGCAATAAGTTTTATGAATAAATGGCTTGAATCGTTGCATGCGTTTAGGGTTACTTTTTTTTGGAGAATCGCTTAACGGATCCGTGTTAGTAGATGCATCACACATTGCTGGTTTATCAAGCCTTTTTGATTGTGCCAAAGTTTCATTTATTTCACTGGCACTGATCGACAGCTGCTCGTCATAGTCTATTAAATGTATAAGACTATCAATCTTAACTTAAATAACAAGGTATATGATAAAAAACATTCGACTAAGGTTGTTACCTGCAAAACTATCTTTTTCTCCAAGAGTTTTATTCAGATCAGCTGCTGTTTCAACTTCCTCGCTTACGTCGCATAACTTGAATTTCACCACGATTGATGATTCTTAAAAAATATTAACGAAAGTGATTTGGTTAGAACTGCAGATCGAGCGTGTATTTGGACTTAAAATGAGAAAAGAAAGCCTTACCGCTGTTGACGCTGTTACACAAGCTTATCCCATGATCAGACTCCGAGCCTGAGCTGGTTTGGCTCTGAAACAGGGAACAACAAAGTCAAAATAATCCATGCATGAGGAACAAAAGACAAACACTAGGTATAAATGGCAGTTCTTACGCAGTGGGGCATGATGAAAAATCTCTAGCCTTGAAAACCAAGTGAATACGTGTACCTCAGCTCAGAAATCAGAGTAGGTATCACATCTGATGAAAGTGATGAATGCGATCGAGTAAAATCACACAGCGATGAAGGCAGCAATTTAAGGATAGGTCTTCTCACACTACGAAATCACATGTTAGTAGAGTGTACTATAGACGGACAGATATTCGCGATCCCTACAGCATAAGGACCTTGTGTTGTATATGTAGGGGTCGCGAATATCAGAATATTCTGTACTTACATGCACGTGTCATAAGAAGACAAGAGATCCGGCTGCAATCCGGCATCCGGTTGTTAGGCCAGTTCTACATAAGTATGGCTAGGCTACGTGTGCAATGACCATTTGGTAACGGACACGAACCAATTTTTTTCAAGCTCGATTTTCAAGCTGGATATAAATTCTAATATTACCTCACATGGCAATTATCGGTGACAACATTTACAATCCGTTGGTTTAGGTTGCGGCTGGTTTATAAAATCGACCACCTGACGCTACTTTTTAATATTTCAGGCAAGCATCGATTGCAGATTTTTAAGATTCACGTATGTTAGGTACGATAATTTTACACAATTTATAATTGTTTACGCAGATTTATAAACACTACTTTTATCTTAGTCAAAGCTTTTTAGTTTTAATAGTATATAGTAATAACTATATATAATTTCCTATGACGTAGCTGTAAAAATGTGTAAAAAACACCGATAGTTTGAAGGCTAGATAAAAATGAAGAAAGAAAAAAATCGTTTTTAGGTGTGTTAGCGATATTTAAAGAGATAAATATACGAAATCGAACTGCCAGAGTTGCCCTGTAGACAGAAATAAAAAAAAACAAAAAAACTTATTTTGTCTTTAAAATGTTAAATAATGATTTTCAAGTACAAAAACACGTAATTTACACACATTTGTGTAACCACAATCAAATAGCTGAGATACGATCATATATATATTATACAATAGACACATCGTTTATTCATACTACCACACGTAAGTATGTACGATCTGATTGTTCCATGCTCGTTTCAAAATTACTATCCCCCAAACAACAACAACCACGGCTATATTATACGCGGCACTTCTCTGGAAATAGAGCACAATATCGATGTATACACTCGTCATCCCATTAAATCAATCAGCCGCACCGGTACACACAATGCGCGCAACCAAAGGATAATCTGCCGCAAACAAACGACGACTACTTATATATTTATATATTATATCCTTAAACGCGCAATAAGCTCGGTGTAGACTATTATATGCGCATTGAAAATTTTACACGGTATATCCCGCGTAATAAGTATCACCCTCGAATGGAAGCCTCTCCGTGCACGGTGCGAGGTGCGAAGTTTATGTATTATATACTTGTACACATTAAAGCGGGAACGATTTTCCCGGCATTAAAAACTCGTTTCGCTCGTGTGTACAATGTCGTTCAAATGGTATACCTATACATATAGCAACAAAAGCCTGTGTGTTACAGTTGTATGTACATGTATTCTCGATTAGGTCCACGTTCGCACTGTATAGGTATAGGTATAGGGAAGAAAAAAATTCTTTTACAGAGAAAAAGCGGAACGCCGGATAATGACGCGATAATTAGGCTCCGCGAACACGAGGGGGATAAAAGGAGGTGAGCCGCAGCTTCCATATACATTGTTGATGAGCGCCTGCATGGTCCAAGAGGGTTGCCCGAGAGGGAGATTTCGGATCTTTGTCTAAATCGTTTGGTAATTAATTTTTTTTTTTCTTTCCAGTAAATCGGTATCGCTTTATGGTGCTTCGATAATCGGGTCATTGGGCTCAACAGCGTATTTATCATTTATCGGTATAATCACACAAAAAGTTGGAAAAATCCGGGAGATTAAAGTCAAGCAATCAAAATGAGTTTAAATCGATCGACGAAGATTTAGTATTGATCAAAAGTGACGAAAAAAAAAGTTGTTTTACCTTTTTTTTCAATTGGCCCAACAAAAAATTTGGTAACAATTGTACAGGGATAAACTTTTCGGAGTAACTCTCATTTCTCTCACCCTTTGAAATAATTTTGTATACAGCACAAAAAGAAAGTATCACTTTTAGGTACTTTACCCGTTATAAGTATACAAAATGTTCTGAACGTTCATCTACCTCGAATCCACTCCAATATCAAACAATGCCGAGCGCATATAGTCGGAAAACCGCAAGTTGACCCTCTCGCAAGGCCGTGGTTGCATCCACAGGTATACATATAGTTATGTACGTATACGTGTATTATACAACCTTGTATTAAAAGAAGATATAGTCACCGTAATAGCGCCGCAATGACAAAGGCGAGATAGCAAACCCGTGGCGGAAGAGACACGCGAGGGGAGCGCGAAAATGCATGTACACGTCAGAACGAGAGCTGAAGTATAATATATATATATGGCTCCTGCATGTCCACTTGCACGATGCATGCATATACGTGCACTTGTGTGCGACGCTTTACGGCTTAATGCGGGAGATTTATTTCTTTACCGTTACACCCCCCCCCCTCCTTCTCTCTCTTGTGCGCTTGTCATATCCGTACAGTTCGTTGACGCTTTGCGGAAAACTTGTGCGTATACACTGTCACATATACATATGCAGGGTAAGAACATTTTTTTCAAACTGTACGTGCATGCATTTGTGTTTACAGTTAATTGTTGCATATCGGTGATTATGGAGAATGATACGGAGATTTGTTCGGAAGAGCTCAAACGGTTCTTGTGTTCCATCGGATGGAGTGTTATTGCATAATTTGTTTGAAAAGTCACATCTTGGGGATCAACAGTTTCTACATACATGACAGAAGAGAGCAATAAAAAAGAAGGTAACATTTCAAGCCCTGAATTATTAAAATCTGTCAACTAACATCTGCCGTATGTCTTATTTGCTATAAAAAAAAAAACATCGTAGGATTTTATTCATAAAACAAGAAACGAATATAAATCGTAACACGATGATGATTCAAAACGAAAAATGAAGCTGTTGTTCGTGGGCGAATACACAAATTTTGATAACTTTGTAATGTGGTTTATTATCCATCTTTGGTCCATTTTCCCCCACTTCTGCATGTAAATTTGATTGATTCACACGAAACTCTCTTACTTACTTAAATGTAGCGTTTCCGATGGATGTATTAAAAATACGATGTTCTTCGTCTTGAAAGGTTCAAACCTGCATGTAATAGAGTCGTATACATACCTGTATACACAAAAACTACAATGCCACCCGGGCAAGAAGATCAGAGAAAACCCCCACCGCGACGCGTACCACCTACCACCCAAGCGTATATATATATACTTACCCGTAAATCGACCATATAAGAGGGACATACTCGTCGAGCGCGCGTCGAGTGTGGACGTATCCCCCCCTAGCGTGGCGAGTGTTCCGGTGTTTCCGAGCGCGAGCGTCGCAAGCGCACCAGGCTTAAATGCCGTTGTGGCAGCATCAATAGTAAATAATAGTGAAAATATCATCTCCATATCGCTCCCCATGAAGGACGAAGCGCATGGAAGCGCGAAAGTACTAACCAGAAGGACATTGAAGAGACACTCAACCAGCAAAATGGAAGACAAATCCAACTCGAAACACCATGTTAAAACTCAAAACAGATTCAACCTACTCTCTGACAACGAAAACGAAGACATGGATGCCAACTCCTCTAGCGATGAGAGCACCAGAAACCAAACCAACGACAAAGAAAAAGAAAAAAAAACTCCAAGGGTAACAACACCAAACAAAATAATAAAAGAAACAAAACATCAAAAAAAAGACAGAGTCCCACCAATAGTGGTCACCACACAAGTCAACAACTTTAGCGGATTCATCAAAGCAATAAGAGATCTAGCCAACGGCGAAGCCATTTTCCAACATACCAAGGACGGCTTAAAAATCTTCCTTGAGAGCAAGGCAAGCTATAACCTGATTCAGGCGACACTAAAAGAAAAAAACTACTCGTACTACACGTACACAAACGAAAGTGAAAAAATCAAACACTTAGTAATCAAGGGCCTTCCTAGCATGGATACTAAAGAAATCCAAGACGACCTAAATAACAAAGGTTATGGCTGCACAAGAATAGCCATGATGAAGCAGAAAGCGCCGCCACCATATATAGCTCCACTATACATGGCCTCTTTCTACGGAGGTACCGACATCAGCGAAGTAAAACGAATAAAGCACATCTGCTACACAAGAGTGTACTGGGAAAAATACAAAAATTCCAAAGGAGCGACCCAGTGCCATCGCTGCCAAAGGTTTGGCCACGGCTCTCAAAACTGTAACAATCCTCCTAGATGTGTAAAATGCGACCAAAAGCACATAACAGCCGAATGCAAGAAAGACAAAGAAACAAAACCTCATTGTGTTAACTGTGGAGAAGAACATCGAGCTAATAGTAGGTTATGTAAAGTGTATCAAGACAGGATTACGACAATTAAAAACAACAGGAATAAGCAAAGAACACAAAATACAACAAAAAAGGCCCCCGAGCCACCCAGCAACAACCACATTAATTTTCCTACATTGGCCGGAAAAACCGCAACCACACATACAGCCTGGAACAAACAAACAGAAATTGATGTCGAAACAATACAGGAACTTTCTTCAGATCTTGATAAAATCCTAAGACTCATAAAAGCAGTGCAAAATCTCAAACAACGCTTTAACCTAGACGCTATGACCGTAGCCATCGAAAAATTCACATCTGATGCAGAACAGCTGCATAACACCTTACAGCATGAACATGAAAAGTAAAAATTTTTCCATAAATCGAATTACCATATCACATTGGAACGCAAATAGCATCCAAGAAAAACTCACTGAGCTCAAAGAATTCATTCAAGATCACGAAATAGACATTATGATAGTGAGTGAAACAAAGTTCAACCGAAATGAAAAGAAAGCGTCAACCTGCAGCATACCAGGATATGACATATACCGCAAAGACAGGACGAGCACCACAACCGGAGGCGGAGTCATGATATGCGTCAAAAAGGACATCAACGTAACCGAGGTACCCATAAATACACTCAACCTGGAAGCTGTGGGAGTGCAGCTAGACAATCGTACAGTGATTGTGGCTGCCTACCTGCCACCAAAATCCAAACTCCTGGAAGACGAACTCGATCAAATCTTCAGGCTGTCCTCATCGGTCATCATCGCCGGCGACTTCAACTGTAAACATGCAGACTGGAACTGCGAAAGGTCCAATCCAAACGGAAACAAGCTCCAGGACTACATCATCAAAAATTCGTACGTATTACTGTTCCCCGATGGTCACACACACTTTCCTGATAATGATTACTTGCCTAGCACGATAGATCTAACGCTAATTAAAACCGAAAATTTTTCATATGATATAGAAGTCCTTAACGAACTTAACTCTAACCATCTACCGGTGCTGGTCAATATAAATTTCAAAGTCAAATATAGTAAAACAAAATCGAGTTATCTAAATTATAAAAAAGCTGATTGGCGAAAATTTCGTGAATTATTAAGTAATAGCATTAACTTAAATTGTAAACCAGCGAGCATAGAGGATATCGATATGTGCGTCAAAAAGCTAACAGATGACGTCAAGTGGGCCATGGAGAAGTCGATACCCAGAAATTATGAAAATTTTAATGTAAATAACATAGATCCAGAAACGAAAAATCTAATTAAACAAAGAAATAGTTTAAGAAAACAATTCAATAAGGCCAAAAACTTAGACGAAAAAAAACAAATTAAATATTCTAGAAATCAACTTGCAAAGCTTATTACTGAAAAAATTAAAAATAGAAATAATAAAAACTGGGATAATAAACTAACAACACTCAAAGTCCAAGACAACACACTATGGAAAATGACAAAATATTTTACAAAAAAAAGAGATTCAAAAATTCCACCACTTCATGGCCCACAAGGACTAGTCTTCAGCTCCCAAGGGAAAGCGGATGTACTCGCGCGGCAATTCGAAAGGGTACATCACCTAACCGATCACTTCGGCACAGAAAACTTCGATGATTTTGTCAAAAATAACGTAACCAACATTGTAAATAGCGACGTAGATACCGACACCATAGAGCTTGTCTCCTACGGTGAAATAATTAAAGCTATCAAAAATACAAGACCAAAAAAGGCCCCAGGAGAGGACGGGATCCAAAATATAATATTAAAAAACTTTCCTCGCAAAGCAATCGTGTGTCTAATATATATTTTTAATAGCTGTCTTAAACATTCATATTTTCCGAAAGCGTGGAAAAATGCTAACATATTGGCCTTTCCTAAACCTGGAAAAGAAAAAAATTTTCCCCAAAATTACAGGCCTATTAGCCTCCTGTGCACTCACAGCAAAATCTTTGAAACAATAATACTAAATAGAATTCGTAGCTTTGAAGCAAAAAATAAAAACATAATAAAAGAACAATTTGGATTCAAACACCATCATAGTACAATACAACAACTCGCTAGAATTACAAATGAAATCTCAACAAATTATAATCTAAACAGATCAACTGCCATGCTCCTTTTAGATATCGAAAAAGCTTTTGACACCGTGTGGCATGAAGGTTTGATATTCAAACTTAACAAGGTCGGCATACCATTATATATAATTAAAGTTCTTTATTCGTATCTTAAAAATCGCACTTTTACAGTCTCAGTCAAAAATCATAATTCTAGTTTACAAAACATACATGCTGGAGTCCCACAGGGGTCTATCCTAGGACCAATACTCTTTTTATATTACATTAATAACATACCGAAGCATACAAATACAAGCCTAGCATTATTTGCAGATGATACAGCGATCCTGGCCTCCTCCTGGTCAAAAAAGAAAGCAATTGAATATATACAAAGGCATATAACCATTATGCGTAAATACTTCGAAAAATGGAAAATAAAAATTAACGATAAAAAAACCGAACTAATTATATTCAGCAAACGCAAAGATAAGCCATGCGATAAAAATGCTTACATAGACATGAATGGAACTAAAATCAAACCTACCACGCAAGTGAAATACCTAGGAGTAACACTAGACAAGGGTCTTACATATACAAAACATATCCAAAATATCCGAAAAAAAGGACAAGCAGCATCAGCGCTCTTACACAACCTACTTAATAGGAAAAGCAAAATGTCAATTAAAAATAAGTTATTAATTTACAAAGTGATTATACGACCTGTGCTATTGTACGCCTCACCGGTGTGGAGCAATACTTGTGAAAGCAACTATTATAAACTAGAAATAATCCAAAACAAAATACTAAGGAAAATAATTAATGCCGAACCCAGAACTAGCAATAAAAAAATTAGGAATCAACTCAGAATAAAGACAATCAAAGAAATAGTACTTGATCACACCAATAAATTTTACAAATATCAGTTGCACAAGGCAGACGCCCTCGCAGACTTTAAATTTTATAACAAAGAAAATGCACCATTTAAAATTAAACACAAACTACCCTACCATTTGCTGCGCAGTGACCATCAGGAGCAGCAATACGCTAGTCAGTAAGTTCTCTTGTTACCTAGTTTTAAGCTCTAGTAAGTAAGGCCAAACAAAATTAATGTGTTTTTTACCAAATCCTTTTTCACAAAACCCACAAACCATAATAAGTAACATTCATATATCGTTCATAATTCATAAAATCAAAAACAAAATATTAACTTAGAGTAAAAGCGCCAACAGCTGAACCTAAAACTAACACAAAAATTACAATACAGCATACTAATCACCAAGTGAAATTATGTATATACTCTGTAATCAAAAGTAATAAATAAAGAGATTTTTAAAAGTAAAAAAAGTAAAAAGACCATATAAGAGGGACATCAAAGGATTTCTACGGAAAACGCCCTCCCCAGTTAAAATCACATAATTCGTC